TTTGTGTGTGTCATTAATGATTGTATTGGAAGCCTATGTCTGTCACCTGAATTATTTATGTGGCTAGTTTAGTATCTAGCTGCATTGCACTGAAATTTGAGCCTCCAAAGTCACATCAAGGAACAATTCAATATTGTTCAGATTGCTTAACCTTGTTTTACTTAGATACAAAAGTAGCCAGAGAAAAGAAAGATGATCATGAAGGAAGGAAAGGAAACATTAAACCTTCATCATGTTCTTGAAGATGTAGCTGTAAGCATCTGTCTTAGTGTCTCGCTTTGGCTTGCACACAAGAAGGTAACTCTTGAAGAGAAACATGTGTCGCTTGTGACCCTTCCAAGCCATGCGGGCCCCTGGAGCTCCTTCCCATACGATGAATTGTCCCTGGAAAGAAAAGCAAAAGGTGTGGCAGCCTGTTCCACTGGCTTAATAACTCATGATCAGAAAGTTCTTCCTGTAATCTAGCCTGAGTTTTAACCCTTTGGTTCTGGTTCTGCCCTCTGGGCCAACAGACAATATGTCCATTCTTCATATAATTATTACAGTTTGGGGTCCAATTCTCCAAAATTCAACCAGGACCTCACATTAAACTGCTTCCCTGGTCACGGTTCCATTTATTTTTATTTTATTTTTATTTATTTATGTCTTATCTTTCCCATATGACTCAAGAGCAGGAGTTTTCAAACTCTGTAGTGATGTGATCGCCCAAAATGAGAAATGAATCTGGATACTCCTCCACAAAAAACTAATTATTTCCTTAGGATTAGGGTTGGGCAAGAGAGAAATGTGTCATTTACTTTAAATAATTAAATACTAGTCAATATATCAAATAAAACAATGATAGGACATTGCCACTTGGGGGTCCATGTGAGTGTGGGTCAAAATCTGCAAGAAGGCAGGCACATCGTTGTGACCCAAGCTTCACCTCTTTAGTGTGTGAATGCATGTGTACAAAAAAGGGCGGATCTTGGCAATGCCATACCTGTCATCTTTCATGTATATGGTTGCAATGTTCTTACAGAAGTTGCTGATTGCAACTTTATGAAAGAACATTTCTACTGATAAACACAACAATTAAATTTAAAACCATATTTTTGGTTCAGCATAAAGAGCCATAAGGTTTGGGTATAGACTAAGTGTGTAGTTGTATTATCAGAATGAGACTTCCAGCTTTCATTTACCTGGCGGATGGGCTCCCCTAATATTTCCAGAGTTCCTGGGTAGTTCTCTATGAGAGAGATGTGAAGGTTGTTTTCTGCTCGTCTGTTGAGCGCAGAAACAATTGCATAAGCCTGTTCCAGAAGGGCACAGTTTTGAGTATTCCTTGCTTTGTTTCGGATCATCTCCTGTGAACACAAGAAATGGTACCATTTACATCATTCGAGTCTCGCCTTTGATGAGTATTTGCAGCAAAAACATGGTTGAATGAACAGGAAGTTCTGGACACTCTTCTTCTATCAGAAGCATTGATGCAAACTTGCTTGCCAATTAGGAAAACTGAGCAATGTGTTAGATTCCCTTCAGCAGATTGGTTTACCCAGAAGTGCTCTTCAGATCTTGTTATTTGGGGAACTGATTGAGATCCAGCTGAGGTTCTCCTTAACTCTCTTCTCCTCCCCAAAGACTAATAGATAGTTGCAGGGAAACACTGTGGAATGTATATCATCAAACTAGTGAGGATGGTGTATAACAGGACATTTCTTTTGTGAACCCAGAGCCCCATCCGGAATGGGTGGACCCCAAAAACCCCTCTTTGATATCATGGATTTTTTAGGAGAAACATGAGGTTTCTTAAGCATTGTGGATGTTCACTCTAAAGTTATGGAAATACCTTCCTGATATGGGACCTGGCCCTGCTCAGATCAAGGCCCTCAACATGCCATCCCATGCTGGTATGGACAGCACATCAGTAGAAGTTGTGCACCATAGTCTATAGCATCTGGTCACAGCCTAGCAGCCCTACAAGGTTGACCAAATCAGGAAACTGACTCCACAGAAAAACTATAACTATACTTTGTTGAGATAGGCTATAGCAACATAATTTTTCTAATTTTCCCTTCACTCCCTCTTATACCCCAGGGAGTTGGAAGGGAGCCAATCTGAGACTCTTTCTAATACTTTACCACCTCCCTGGGCTCAGTGCATGCTTCTGCACCTGTTGTGGTCTTAACAGCTTCTGGACGGTTTCTCCAAATTATTTCGATGCCTCCCTACACACAGCCTGGATCTAATGACAGTGGGTCCAACATAACCACAAATCTAGGCTGTGTAGGGAGGCATGGAAATGATTTGGAGAAACCATCAGGAAGCTGTTAAAACAAGTGCAGAAGCGTGCACTGAGCTCAGGGAGGTGGGAAAGTATTAGCGCCACCATATTTACTTCAAGGCCTCTGTGTGGAAACACTAAGCTAGAATGTTTGAACCAGAATAACTATGCTGTACCAGAAACAAGGGCTCTGTTCAATGTTTCAGATTCAGTTCCAAAATGGTGCTTCGGAGCACACGGGGGTATGAACATAGCACCTCTCTCAGCTCTTTAAAGCAGCCATGTTTTCCTTTCCTGGGATTTTCATTGCACTACGCATCTCTAATAAATACACCTGTGAAGTCAAAATCATGATAATGTGTAAAACAAGGGGAATCCCTCCATTTCCCTCGCCAGTAATGATGTCAGTCTTCTCTGGCAGCTATCTGGATTGGAAGCAAAGCACAACTCTCTCAGATCACTGATTAATAAGATTAATTAAGGGATTAATTTAATTAAGATTAAAATATTAATATAAGCATTCCATCAAGTATTCTGTTCTCAAATGAGAAACCTATATATATGTAGAAATTAGGGTGGGAAGCCTCTGACTCTTTTCTCCCACCTTTTAATATAAGATTTGTCTCTCTTCTGAGAAGGCTGACTAGCCTGAACCTAGAGGTTGTTTACAAAACAGCTATAGCTAGTCCTCAGCTTACCTCCATTCATTCAGTGACTGTTTACAGCAGCACTGAAAAAATGGACTTACAACTGGTCCTTGAAGTTCCAACTGTTGCTTCCCTGCCAGCTTCCCACAAGCAAAATCAATGGGGAACCCAGCAGGGAAGATCACAAGTTGCCCCAGTAAGTTGCTTCCGCCATTTTTTCTCCCAAGGAGCCCTCTACAGAGTACAAGATCCCCACAGCACCCCGCACTCTCCTGCAGCCACTACTGGCCCTTCCACAGCCTCCGCCACCTGCCTGTGCTCCCTAGTGCCTGCTCGCGGCACTCGCACACACACCCTGTACTCCTTACCTGCGTCACTTAGTGACAGCAATCCCAGTCCCAGTTGCCATCGTAACCTGTACTAGACTAACTGTACTAGCTTCCTTTGAGATGTGAGAACCAGCTGTTGCAATACCAACCAATTGCAGAAGTTATTAAAGTTGTGCTCCTCACCTTGATTGCTGTTTGATATTTCTGGATCCGGATTATTGGTCTCTCTAGATAGTGTTGCAGAGGAAGTATCGGTGGCTGAGAAGGATCCTCACTGGCTAATGTTCCCTCTATGTATCGCTGGAGAGAGAAACATAACAGTAAGGGATTTATCAATTCAATTTGCTTGTCATCCAGGAAAACCCTTCATTCCTTTACAGACTACGCAATTACTCTATGCTCATCCTGAACGCTGGTATCATTGCTCTAATAAGCAAGTGACTAGGTTCACTGGGATCTAGGCACTTACAATAGCATTTCAGCAGCATACAAGTAGAAGGGCCTTATTCATGTATTGTTCTGCCTTGCTGCAAAGATGCATATAACATACGCTTAATGTACAAACTTATAAGACTGTTTTTAAAGAGGAATGCAATCCTTGGCCATTACGTCCAAGGAAAATAGTTGTGTGTTGGTGAAAAGTCCAGAAGAAGATGCTTTCAGTTGGGAGCGCTCTCACCTTATAAAACTCCTGAACTGCTTTGCTGACCACAATAGACTCGGCTTGAACGCGGCCCACCAAGAATGGGATGTATTTGTCAAATTCTCCTTCATGTTTAATGAAACACATGGCCACATCGTCATCAGTGTCACACTTCTGAAGCTCCGGGAAAAAGGTGCTGTGGGGGACAGCAGAAAGGAACAGGAGAGCAGGATGTGGAAGCCATAGCAGGTAATCCTATACTCCTGGCTGGAGCTTCTTCTCCAGCTGAAGCATCCTCCATCACTCAATTTAGCAGCAGGTAAACACAATCTGATCTGCCTTGTCCAAATACCTTCCTTAAAAGTCCACAGGATATGGTCAGAAAAGTCAAGATGGCAGACATGACAGTGCAATCAACCTGTTATTTTCTGCAGTGCACATAAACCCTGCAAACAGCCCTGAAAGGTAGCCTTAACAGAACAGGGGAAGAGAAACAAAGAGGAGATACAGAATGTTTTCCCAGGAAACAAGATTGTGGGTGCCAAGACTGAAAAGGTCCTGCACTTAAATTATGATCTCTTGCACCTCAGTGGGAGAAAGAACTAGGCACAGGAGCTCCAGCATTGTGATTGAAGCCTATAGGGTTTTATTTATTTATTCTACTTGCATACTGCCAAATCAACTACGGACTCATGGCAGTTTGCAACAATCAGCAATAAAAACCACCGTAGAGCGGAATCAGAATTAAAATGTCCACGGTGATGTATAAAATAAAATATAAATAATCAGAATGCTAATCAAATTGCAAAAAATGCACAAGATAATTGAAATACTCTAATTAATCATAATGAAACCACATAGATAAAATAGAAGGATAATCAAATAAAGTAAAAATAAGAACTTACATGCTACACAACTTGCAAAAAATATACAAGATATAATAATAACAATAATAATAATACACCTAATTACAATGAAATAAAATAAAAATTATCAAATCAAATTATCAAATAAAAATAAAAACCAACATGCTATTCGAATTGCAAAAAGTACACTAGATAATCATAATAATTCCCCTAATAATCATAATGAAGTCCAATAAATAGAAGGATAATCAAGTAAAGTAAAATAACAATAATATAGCTAATGCATCCCAAAACATTATTTCTTAAAAACTTTACTTGAGTGAATAGCATCATGCAGGTGCTCAGGAGTTCCTATGACCCTACTTTTTCTAGTACACAGTCTTTTTTTTTTTTTTTTTAAGCCTTTTGGCTCTTCTTTATATGCATCTGCCTCACCCGTACGTACTTGGAATGAAAGTGCGCTATGTCAGTAATATTTCTGAAAATAATGAGCTTCTGGCTGGAAACAGCAGTAGGGACGACAGGGCAAGTCTCCGTGAACTGGATGTGGTGGGTTTGGAGGAACTGCAAATCCTTGACAAAATCCTCCTCTGTGCCCAGCAAGTCTTGAGTGATAAGGCTAAACATCAAAGGAGAAGCAGAAAGAGAAAAGGAGTGAAATTTGGTAGAAATACATCCCATCCTTTGAGGGTCACAATCTGGGAAATTAATTCTAAATTTCAGCAGATAAACATGAAGGTATTCAGGTGAGAAAGAAAGGGCTGGGTCGGGGGACATCTACCATTTCAGAAACATCTACAGTTCAGATTAAATCTGCTTGAAACACATTTATCTGTTTAACTACATTTGCAGCTACAGAAATAGACAATGCAGAGGAGACAAAATAGACTAAGGATACCTCTTAGTTTGGTGCCATTGAATAGGGCTTGTATCCTAGTGACCTCATGAACAAAATGTTTGCAAATTTGATTTGTCTTTGGTGCTGACATGTAATTTTTCTTAGAGCTGGCCAGAAATCTCTTTAATCCAACCCATTCCCGTTCCCCACTGCCTTCCCCTTGTTTTCCTTCCTTTAACCTTAACAAACATACATGTAATCCGTGCTTAACAGTGGTAATTGGGCCCAGAATTTCTGTTGCTAAGTGATGCGGTCATAAAGCATGATGTCATGTGACCACATTGCTTAGCAACGGCAGTCCTGGCAATCGCTGTTGCCATTGTTAAGCAAGGACCATGGGTTGTTAAGTGAGGACTCATGTGACTGGGACTTGCGACTTCCTGCCGGCTTCCAACAAAGTCAATGAGGAAGCTGGCAGGAAGCTGCAAGTCCCAGTTATGACAAGCCCTTCCTTAGGCAGCTTGCAAGCATGTGGGTGGGTAAGTGCTACAGAGTGCAGTGGGCTGGGGGGGCAAGGGAGGGAGGCGAGTGCAGGTGGGCAGGGGTTGGGCTGCTGCGTGGTGCAAGTACAGGCAGATGTGCAGCTGGGTGCTCTCACATGGTGCAAGTGCAAACAGGCAGATAGCCACCCGCCTGCCCAGGGTCCACCCTGCCACCCAGGGCTCTTTGGGAGAAAAAGCAGCAGGAGTGGGAACAACTTACAGGAGTGACTTGCGACCTTCCCTGCCAGATTCCCCATTGACTTTGCTTGTGTGAAGCTGGCAGGGAAGGTCATAAATGGCGATCACATGACCATGGGACGCTGCAACTGTTGTAAGTGCAAGCTGGTTGCCAAATGCCTGAATCACGATCACATGATCACAGGGACACTGTGGTGGCCATAATTTTGAGGATAAGTTCCCCTTGTTCAGCACCATTGTAACTTCCAACAGTCGCTGAACAAGTGGTCACTAAGCGAGGACTACCTGTAGTTGTTTTTTCTACTCCATCATTTGCTCATATCTCATGACCAAATCATCTGAGCCTCATTGCTTACAGACACGATTAACCTTTATTTGATCCAGGACTGATTGCTGGTTCTTCACGCTGTAACTATTTCCAAATCCATAATTCAAAAGCAGCTATTTTATTTCCCTTCCTTTTCCATTCCAGTTTCCACAAGTCTTTCACTGGAAAGACCACTGCTTTAACTGTTCTATCTTTGTTGTCACCAAAAAGAACCTTCCTGAGCTTGCATAAGGGCACTCCAACATGGAAACAAAGGTAAGAAAAAATAAAACTCTTCAAAAATAGAAAGCCCCTTTGTCTGTTGTATTGTCAGGCAAAATTGCTGATTACAGGGAAATGTTAATAGGAGGGAGCATTCAAATTTTTTATCTCTTCCCTCTAAGTGCACTGTTTTTTTAACTCTGAATTCCCCACATGTGTGGAGCAGTCTCTGGAAATCTAAAATGGATTGTTTTCGTGAAAGGGCAAAACATAAAATAAAATTCAGCATCTTCTCAAAACTCACATTTTGAGGGATATTCAAAGATAGAACAGCTCCAAGTTGACAATGGAAGAGTAGATGAACAATGGATAACTTATCATCTAAACTTTGACCTGGGGGCTAGGACAGAACTAGGCAGTCCCTTGTTAGTTACAAATTACATATGTTTCCATGGGTAATGAGATGAAGCAAAGATGCTATCAAAGAATAAAGGCAGAAAATATAAAGGCAGAAAATACAGCGTTTGAGACAACCCATCCTTGGTCAATGGCCATACCAGCTAGAGATTGTAAGCAATTTAGTTCATGACATCTAGAGACACATTGAGGAAAAATTCTTCACCCAGGTTTCCTTGATTTAATCTAGAATGCTAATTTACTGGATCAAACTATGTCTCCAATTCCACTCATTTTGGCTTTTCATGATTGATGTGTTTTCTCCAAAATGGATCAAGCAAAACATGTTTTGGACCAAATGGACTTTGCAGGGTCATCAATCCCATGGAGAGACACCATAACTTCCAGAGGTTCATTTTTATAGTCTACCAGTGGAAAGTAGCTAATGCCTTCCTTACATCTCCTGGAAGCAGGTAGACTGTCTTCATATGTCCTGAAGAAGAAACAGGTTCCTATTACATTTCCAGCCTCAAACAGAGGCTGGATGTTCAACTGTACAAGATGCTCTAGTGGATCCCGCACAGAGGTGGGTGTTATACAAGATGACTTCTTGTAAGTCCCTTCCTATGGTATGATTCTATGAAATTATTCTCATACTCCACCAGCTGCAACAGCAGGATAGGGGCCTTTGGACAAAGAAGTACTTAGCTCTGATAGGAAGAATTTTCACCAAGCTCACCTTAATTTCTTTCTATATTCATCTTCAGAAAGAGATTCTCCAGGGAATTCTGGAACTTCTGGGATACCCCACTCAGCAGAGAGCTAAAATAAAGAAAATAAAACCTATCTACTAGGAATAGATGTCCTTAAGAAGGCTTTTATGGTCCTCCAATCAAGGCTATTAGACAAGAGGCAAAGGGTTTTCATTAATAGTTCTTAAGAGAAAGTTGTTGGGCTATAACAGTAGCATCATTTGATATTTGGAAGCAATAATGTTACTCTTCAGGAAGGAGAATTCATCGCCACCAAAGGTTCCTCAATTTCTCTTGTTGAAGTTACCTTCAAGAGAAGCCCTGCAGAATCAGGCCTTGGATGGAGCTAAGCAATAATAAAATAAAGTGGATGATTTCTTTGGTCAAGTGAATCCAGTAGTAAGACAATACTACTGTCTTATTGATTCAAATCATGTGCAACTCATGGCTTGTGTGGATGTCAAAATTATAATCCATTAATTAATAATCCAGCAGTTCCTCTTCCAGCTCTATAGATTCTGTTTCAGATATAAGAGGAAATATTCCCACAACCTTGCTATCCCTGCACTAACCAGATTTCAGTCTCTAGATATGTTAGATTGTAACTCCCGTTATCCTTAACCAGCACAAACAATGACTGGGTGTTGTGAGAGCTTAGTCCAATATATCAGCCTTGGCTGCTGCTTCTTTTTTTTTTACAAAATTAAAACAATAACCAAAAAGGAAAAAGAAATAACGCTTTAGAACATCAATTATATATTATAGCAATTATATATAGAACAACATATTCACACATTCAACATTGGAAAGATGAATTTATGGTCCAATTACTCAGTGGATTGAAATCTGGTTACTTGCAACTTATGAACAAGTTGCTTATATACATAGATTATATATGGACAATTACAATGAAATATAGTAATCCTTTACTGAAACTGCTGTGTAAAAGTTGCTTTAATTATTCATGGAAACCTAGGGACTAGAAACATAAGATTAAGCAATCTTAAAGAAAAACCAACTATGGATAAGTCTTACCTTTAACTTCTTATCCAAGTAGGCTGGAGAAACCCAGCCTTGTCTGGATGGGCTTGATTTGGTGGGTTTGGTCCTAACCAACCACTTCAGGGGATGAGCAGAGTCAAGGACCTCCACATATTGTCCTTCTTTCAGAGTGATGGTTTCACAGTCAGCACCCATTGGGGTGTAGTCAGCAATGACCATGTAGATGTCAAAAATCTGTTGACAGAAGGATGATTCGGTATATTATAGAAAATTTTAAGTGAATTGCCAATTGGTTTTCCATCCTCAGATCTCCAGATTCAGATAGAAATGGAATATTCTACATGTTCTGGGTCACTTTCTTCAATATTCTTGAGGTTATTTCATAAGCCATTCCATTAGATCATTTTGCTAAGCAAAAAAATCTCTGCTTATTCTTCTCCCTATGGGTGAACTTGCAAAAAGTTTATTTCTGCAGGCACCATACCTCTCCCCTTGCATCTCCTTCATCGGATTCAGAGGAAGATTCTTGAGCAGTCGAGGAAGGCCTGGATCTGCCGTACCGTGGAGATGCTGATGGTGTTTTTGATTCATCATCACTATCAGCTCCAGGAACTCGAAGGGAAGCTGAAATGAAAGGGTAAGTGATTAAAAGGCACAGTTAGGGAGAAAAGGTTTTGTTTTGAGAAAGAAATCCAATGTTCGTGAAAGTGCAAATCATGCTCATCTTCAGATGTATTTAGTTCACCCTTACCCAATCTGGTGTCCTCTAGCCATGCTACACTTTGTCCAGACCAGCAGGCTATTGGAGAAGGTTCTTAGCAAAGAATTAAGTCTTCAACAGAGCTTTTGCTAGAAAGCTATAACATGCCACATCTCTGAAATTGTTTAAAATTGCCATGCAGAACACCAGAAGCAAGAAAAGTAAAAATTCCGAGATAACTTGCTATTACGTTCAAAAGAATAGATGAAAAATTAGCCCTTTAAAATTAGTAATAATAATACTACTACTAATAATAATAATTTATTACATTTATATGCCCCCAGCTCCCAGCTACTTTGTGATCAGTGAGGGGAACTGCAGCAAACTGAAGCTGGTTTTGTACCAGTATATATGCATATCTCAAACTGATAGCGAGAAACCCAGCATTTTCAAGTGGCCTCCTGCATTTAGTCCCCTTGCACCACTTAAGCTGTTACCTTGACCTATCTTTGCAGACACCATTTCTGTGATCTGTGATGTCAGTTTCTGGAGAAATTCCTCAGTCCCCACTTCACCAAGAGAAATGTGGCTCTGAACTGTTTCACCTTCCATATGTTCCCCTAGTAAAGAAGAACATGATGTTTAGTCATAACAGCTTCTAAAAATATCTCTCTGAGTAGTGGGATTGTTAAGTAATGTCAACCTCCTTGGCAGCTACCAAAACTGAAAATGATCCTTTCTAAGCAAGATTCTCACAGTTTTCTTTAGCAAGATTTATTGAGCAGAAAAGGACGGATTACAGGAATTTCAGCAACTGAATTATTCTCCATTTGGAACCAATATAGCCCCGTCTACATTAGTGCAGAATTATTTTGTTTCTAACAGCCTCTCTAATCTGGTGAGGGGGCAAATGGCTTCCATGATAATGAGGAAGCTTGTAAAGCTCACTATTTATCTAATAGTCTCCTGAATCTTTATCAGCCTAGAAACCAATAATTAAAGATACCCCAAGACTTAACAAGAATCTTACTGCAATATTCTGGACCTTAATGCATTAATCCACTAAGTAGGGCCACAATCCTTATCCAAACTCCTATCTTGATGTCATCACAAACTGAAATCAACAGTTCTTTCAAGAAGAATTGTACATACAGATTATCATTTTTGTTATCCTGGATAACAAGTTTTTGTCACAAAGATGAACCATCCCTGGGAAATACACTGAGTGAAAAGCTGATCTATATTTTCTTCCCAATGTGTTCAGTGAGAGACATTGTATATTTTCGATTATATACTGTATTAGGGTTAAATACGTTATAGTTGTGCAAGTCAGCTCTGATCTGATTTGAAACATGGAATGTCAGTTCAGTTTGAGTATTTGATTTGATTCTGAAAAGTGACTCTATTCTATTCTAATTCAATTTGAGTCCAAAGCCTTATTGGGTTTCACACTGTTGATCTGATTTGGATATTCTACAGAATCATCTCTGAACAGAATCTTCAGATCTGAAATTTCCCACAACCCTACTATAGACATGAACATGAAAAAGCTTTTTCAAGAAAAGCTAATATTCCAAAGATGCTCAAAGACCTTCAAAGAAGTTTCACCCCTATTTGTCATCCCTGTTTTATTACAAAAAGAAAGATGCTAATGTTACAGAGAAGAATGTTTATCTTTTTAATGGAAAATGTATAAGTACGATGGATAAATATTACAGAAAATTCTATGGAACAGAAACCACACTTACATGAAAAAGATTTTGAAGTGAGCATACATAAAGTTCTAACAGTTTTTCCTACCTTTTCCAGCTTCAAGAGCTTGAGCAATAACCCCTCTGGCTCTGAAAAAAGGGAAAAACAAATCTCATGTTGCTATGTAGATTTTTTTTCCAGCCATTTTTCCTGTCCAATATTGAATCTTGAAGCCAAACTGGACAGAGGCCAGTAAGGCTACGTATAAACCTGTCT